CGACTCTATGCGATCTTGACATATTTATGTCTCAACTAATAAAAGATTACATACGCACGTAATCGCTACACAGGTACACACATACATACTCGCACACGCATGTTCAATTTTATAACACTTTTTTTCAATTACAATATAGCCTCTTTTCATCCTCGGGAGCGAAGCAAAACCACACACACACACACACACAAACGCACCCCAATATATATATATATTGGGGGGTGTGTTTAAAACGTATATATATATATATATATATATATATATATATATATACAAAAGACATATATATACTGATTAAATTTTATAAAATTATTACATTCATGGGGAATGTATGTACGTATATGTGTGGGTATATGCATATATCCCTAAATGTATATGCGTGTATATAACGGGTGTATCAAAAAAAAAAAATGTCCAAATCGTGTAACATCAAAATTGTCCAGTTGTTAGATTAAGATTTGAACCGTTGTATCTTAGAAATGATTAAAGATATCTTACTGGAATTCTCCGAGGTTTTTATAAAGTTATTGGACTCTACTTTGAGAAACAATAATATATAAACTCTCCAAGCTTAACAGAAGAATCGTGATGAAATCGATCATGAACGAAAATGTTATGTTCATCATTAATTAATCATAGTTAAAGATCGGTAGCTTATGAAGGATTGAAATAAAGTTCAAATATATATTCCAGGATCATTTTCCAACTTATTCAAGATGTTCTACGTCCTCTCTAACACTCTAATTTTCTGTCCTGGTGTAACAAAACTGCCTCACACATTTCACGTACAATTTCATTTTCCAGTATTTTTTCACTGAACTTTGGACTGTCATCGGGGAAAATCCTCTCTCAAGTGCCAAACGACTTATGAATTGAGTTGGATCTTTTCTAATTGATCTCTTTTGCTCTACGTTATAATGATGATCCTTCTTGCTGTTGTGATCTCCTGATCCAGTTTTCCTCTCTACTGTTCACTCTATATTTAAAACTGAACCCCGTTCTCTTGCTAGTTCTTGAATGGACTTTGGAGATGGAAGCCAGAGTATGAATGGTGGTACCATTACTGAAGGCTTGAATGATCTTCTTCCTCTCACCATTGCTCAGTTGGGAAGACAGTGGAGCTGACACAAAACGATTTTAACCTGTTCTCTTTCTAGCTGAATGTTTTTCAGAGAATCTTACGACAAATGGTGTCAAGATGGCTAAACGTCTTATCTGAAAACCTGGAAAAAAGAAATTCGATTAGTTTAGTGGTTTTTAGATATTAAACATTTTGTGGGATGGACAATTATGCTGTTACACGATTTGGACAATTTTGCTGTTACACTCAGCATGAATTACATACATATATGCGCAAACGTGTGACGTACTTATACACCCATATATCTATCTATCTGTGTGTGTGCATATGTGTGTGTGTGTTTTGTGGTTGTGTGTATGTATGTATAGATATGGAAGAATATCTCGAAAAGAAAAATCTATATGCCATGTTCGAATTCATTAACAAAATGAGAAACAATTCCCCTATATGGTATAAATAACAGGGATATTTGATCTTTCTTCTTTTGAGGTAGCAACCCGTTTAAGAAAAGGAAAACACTGAATTCAACACCTGCCTGATAAAAGGCTATCTTGCCTTAGAGCCACCACGGCTGCAATATGTGGTGGCTTGGTTACGGGATTGTGATATATATATATATATATATATATATATATATATATATATATATATGTGTGTGTGTGTGTGTGTGTGTGTGTGTGTGTGTGTGTAATTATTTATTTAAAAATATTATAACATAAATACGTTATAAAATCACTACAAAAAATAGGCATTTTGTTTCAACGCCTCCGGAGGTGTTGAAACAAAATGGCTATTTTTGTAGTGATTTTATAACATATTTATGTTATAATTTTTAAAATAAATAATTATATCTGCTCTACTCTGTATTGAGCACTCTTTTAAGAATAGTAATTGTCAGTTATTGGAATTCATTCCATATACACCAATTATATATATATATATATATATATATATATATATAGAGAGAGAGAGAGAGAGAGAAAGATTGATAATATTAGTGGTAAATATGCACATACATATGCAATCATATATGTAAAATATATATAAAAATATATATATATACATACATACATACATACACATACATATATATTTGTATAAAAAATAAATCCAAGAGGATAGAATCCAGGTAGAACTCAATGTCTAGGACAGAGTAAGAATATAATAAAAAGGCTTAAACACTAATATTCCATGGTCATAATTTATTCCATTGGAATCGTAAATACGATCCAATTCATCAGACCTACAAATTCAAAATGAAAACAGAAAAAACAACTCCGAGAATAAAAAATAAAATTTAGTGAGAGTGTATGTATGAGAGTGTGGGACGAAAGTTAGAGTAAATGAAAGCTATAGGGAGGGGTAACAGACGAGAGAAGAACAGGAAGGCCTAAAGATGAAGGGGGAATTAAAATTTAACAGAGAGAAGTTTTAAAGAGGAGAGTCAAAGACGGTTTAAGTGAGAGAAATATGAATATTCTCGGATGTCTAAAATACATTAAGGATACATTTTGTGGTGACACACACACACACAATAGACAATTTAAACTTAAAGATCAGAAGATGAGAGAGGGAGAGGAAAAGAAAAGAAAAAGGGGTGGGGGAGAGAGATGGGGGAGAGGAAACTAAAACCGAAGGGTATCTATCAAAGGGCCGCTGTGTAATTAAGAAAATTTGACAAAATTAATATCGACTACAGGTTACAAGTCAAATATAAACATATAAAAAACAAATATGACAATTATCTAATCTAGCAAGGACCTATATTTCTATGTTCAAAAACACATGCGTATACGCACATACACAGCAACATATTTATATTTACACGTACATACATACATATAGGTGTGTACACACATACCCATATATATACATATACCCATACATACATACTTATATATATATATATATGTATGTATATATACATATACATACATATACACCCATACATACATATACACATACATCCATACACATCCACTTCTACATACATTTACACACATACATACATACGGACATACACATACGTGCACATAAACATATATACATAAAACCTTACATCTACATACAATTACATACACCCATCTAAACAATGTAAAAATTGCAATAGGAGCACTGGTAAAAATGGTTGCTGAAGACATTAGGTTTATAATACCCAGAAATTCATACACTCAAGGACACATGGCACAGTGGATAAAGGCGTTGGTTAGATCCAGTGACAGGATCCAAAGAGTGTAAGTTCAATACCTGGTTAAGGCAGTGGAGAACTTTCAGAGGGAAAATTAACAGGGGATAACTGATAGATGACATCCATCACTAGAACAGTCTACCCAAGTGAGCGAAATAAAGGGTTCAGTTCGACATTCCAACCACCTGAAGCGTAGCGTACAACGGCCGAAACGTTGTGATAAATATGAGGACAACAGTCCAAATAATGTATTCTCTCTCTCTATATATATATATATATGAACAGATTGAGACAAAAAGCTTCTCGAAACTAAATGTGCGCTATAATGGATAGCGGCTCGTCATGAGAAATTTGAGAGCTGAGTGCGTTACAATCACTTATTCGCAAATATTCTTTGGAAGTGTATGAATCCATTTCTTCTCTCCCTACCTAGGGATTAAATAGTAGGATTTTTATATGGGGAAAATTGTGATATTTACTAGAAAAATAAAGCGTTTTTTTTTTTTTGCAATTCAAAAAAAATAAGCTTCGGCTTTAAATAACCTAGAAAGGGTTGATAAGCCATAAAAAACGAATGCAAACGCACAGAAATATTTTTCAGTCTTTTATGTTTCGTGAACCATCAGGATGTTGGCGATCATGGTTCTCCACAATTTCCTGTCCTTTGTAGCTCTTAATAAATTTTATCTTTTTTTCTTTTCTCTCCTAACTCCTATCCTGCCAACCATTTACACAACCATTTACATTATTTGGTACTTTCCTCTTCAACATGTCCTGTGAGTATTAAATTTTCCGAGCCCCCTTTCCTTTTGATTTTCCCTACTTTCTCTTTCGGTAAAATCCCTTCCCAGATATTTAATTTTTTTTACTTATTTGATTTTGGCTTCTCCAATTTGCAATTTGCATGTTGGACTGTTCCAATTAATGTTTAGTCCTTTCTTCTCGATTTTCTTTATGACCTTCTTTGTGACCTTGTAGTTTCATTTATGCGTATTGTTAGTTTCAGTTAAATAGTCAGATGTTAGCTTTAGTTTTCAGCGCTCTTTCTTTTATTTAATTTTCCATTTAATGAATTTAAGAGCCATATTCGAAGCCTCTAATAGTTTATTAATTACAGATAAAAAGCCGGGGCCTTTTTGGAAGGAAATCAACCACACCCCTTGATAAAAGTGTCGTAACTGACGCCTCCTTACAATTCTTATTGCACGTTTAAACCTCTAAAATAATTACCAAATCGGTTCATTTTTCAAGATGTTCATGTCTTTTTTCTTACAAAACAGTTCACAGCAACGCCAGAGAAAGATCGCATTTGACATTCCTATTCCATCTGATAAATGTCTCTCTCTTGTTTCTTTTTTTTTGTTTGTTTTTTTCCATCTTTTCTCTTATTTTCTCGGCAGGATTCCTGCTGATTTTGTAATCTGTTGGTAGCTGTTTGGCTTCTGTTCTTTAGAATGGAAGGGAAAAATATATTCCCTTCCAGTATTCAACTTGGAATGAACAGTTTCCATCAATCTCTTCCCAGATAAGTCCATCTTTTTCTCTTTCGACCGTTCCTCTCGCCCATCATCTCTCGTTTTCCGAATCATCCTGGACTGATTGTCCCAACCAGGTCTCCCGCCAAATCGGCCACTGTCTTAAGGAGATTGTTTGCTGCCACATCCCGCTCGGAACGGTTGATATTTCATCTCAAGATGTTTTCGATCGTCGATTCTTGACAAGCAGACAACATCAGGATATTTCCCATAATTCAACGTCTAACGGAAACAAATAAGCAGGCGAGAAAAGAAAATGAACAAAAGAAGAAAAAAGAAGAAAGATTGAATAATAAAAAAGGAAAGACAAAGTTAAGATAGAATAGAAAGAAAGGCAAAGAATATTGAATCGATTAGAAAGAAAGAAAGAAAGAAAGAAAGAAAGAAAGAAAGAAAGAAAGAAAGCGAAAATCAAATAAAGAAACAAAGGAAAATAACAGAATAGATAGAAAAAGAATAAAGAAGTAACAAAACTATGAGTAAAGAAATAAATTTTAGATGAGAGGTTATTAATATATGCTTTGCTTTTTCTGACTAGCATGTTATTTGGGTTGCTACCCTCACAATGTTGCAGCCGTTGTAACCTCCGACCTAAAGAAGAAATTTGTGATGTTGACAAGCAAATCATAATTAACATCAAAATAAACGAGAGACAAAAATCGATCAAGTGACTGATTTTGCATATCTTAGTTGCTAGCTATATTGCAAGACCAGCTAAGCAGTTAAAGTAGAAAACCTAACAAGTTGCCTTGGGTCGGCTGCATTTTGAAAACATAAGCCTATACTGAAATCAAAACGAGTACCAATCCACACTAGAACGAAAGTACATTTTATATAAATACTTTCACAATTTTTATATTGTTTATATTGTATAACATGAACTCAAGAGATTTTCAGCTCAAGTTGAAATATCCCAATGTCCTATGATGTGCATCATCAGAAATCCTAACGCTGATCGACACATTCAAAATCGACAAAATAGCCAATCTTCAAACTGCAACCAGTTTGCCTTCACATTTCGATATCATCCATAGCAAACCATTGAAACTATTTGAATGCATTAAAAGATCTAATGCTGGGCTCAGTTAATTCTCTCTTGAAAGTATAATGGCCGGATAAAACCGGTAGATGAAGAAAAGAAACAGATGTAGAGGAATAACATAATTATATGGTCACTACGTAATAAATGGCAGGCAATAAATAAAATTGCTTAAGAGCGTAATAAAAGGCCGGAAATAAACTGTATTAGTTCACGAAGGCATAAATGACGACTGATGATAACCTTCCGAAACGTCTTACTTGGTAGCCTTCTGGGAATTTCGAATCGAACAATTCTCAATCCATGGGGGCAGGCTGTTCTGCCTCAGCTTTCCATGCTGAGTACATATTTCGTATCAGTCACCATTTCATCATTTCTTAGCCTGTCGTGATTTTCAGCAATACCAACCCCATAGATTGAACTCTCAACTGCTTGCGAAGCTGTTTTTTATTTTTGACCAATTTTTTAATTCGTTAGGTACTGTGGCATGGTGGAGTAATGAATAGCAGCTCGGATTGAGGAATCGGAGAGCCGAGATCGAATTCAAGTCAATTCTATTACATTCAGTTACGTGCTTTATCCTTCTAACCCTGACCCTAACCCCCAGCTATGTGTAAATAGCAGGACAGATCTTGGATGGAAACTGGTCTACCGTAGAAAGAAATGGCAACCTACTGAGGGAAAACAAAAGATTTGCCTCGTCAGTGATCGCCTAAGCATGTATCACGCATAGCACATGACTAACTGATAGGTCCTATGTCACCTAGAGGGTACAAAAGTCGAAAAACTTTAAGCAGAAAAATACATAAGACAGAAGCAATTTATGCTTTCTTTCGTGGTGATGTGTAACGTTAGATCTGGAGAATCCTAAGGTTGCTGGAATCCATTTTCAAGTCACTAAAATTAAATAATGTCTCTTTCTCTATAGGGGATTGTATATTGAAGTATGTATAAAAAATAAATTAAAATACACATTTTGACCGTTTAAATCACATCAACATGAGCAACTGGAAATTGGTTAACAGCAAAAGTGAGAACACAGGAATTAAGCCAAAACAGTTACATAAACATACACAATATGCAATTCTTGAAAGCGAATTTGAATGGCTACCACAGGGGCGCTGTAGTTGCGTCATATCTACGGCAAAGTTCAGTTATTTGTTTAACCCCGGAATGGCGTGTCCTAAGCAAAAGGCGTTTTCGAGTTCGCGAAAACAAATACAGTTGTCACGGTGCAGCGTGCTTTTCGAAGGCAAATTGGACATTAATCTACCCTCTCCTAAGAACATTCGACGGTGGTTTAAACAGTTTCAAGAGAGCGGGTGTCTGTGTAAAGGAAAAAAGTCCAGGACAACTACGGGCTTCGGAGCAACAAGTAGTGAGAATCCGTTTTGCTTTTGAGGGAGTCCACGGAAGTCCATAAATCGAGCTAGCTGCGATCTCTCAATCCACTATCTGTTGTGTGCTAAGTAGACGTCTACATTTGAAACCTTACAGACAACGCCTCATTCAGGTATTTACCGAGACCTTGCTCTTTGTGATTGGCCTGCAAGATCCCCAGACCTCAACGGATGTGATATTTTCCTGTGGAGATCACGTAAAAGATCGCATTTATGTTCCGCCGCTACCCACTAACCTCGATGACCTTAAACATCGAATAACAACAGCGATCAACTCAGTGGATCGTGATATGCTGATACGCGTCTGGGAGGAATTCTCTTATCGAATTTATGTTGCCCGTGCTGCAGGTGGTGGCCACATTGAACACTTGTAAGACAGGAAATAAAAGTTGATTGTGAGTAGAATACTTGTGACTTGGCTGGAGTTTTCTATTGCTTTTCTTTATTAAAATATTGCATAATGAAATCGGTTAATTCTTTTTTTAATAGACCTATATATATATATATATATATATATATATATATATATATATATGCATGTATGTATATGTGTGTGTGTGCGTACGCAGGAATTTTCAAAGATGTTTATTTATAAAAGTCGAAAAGGATTTATCGAATGTGTTTTCAGACCTTAATAAAATATACTAACTTTCGCACATAGCCAAATGCGAGCGCACACATACACACACACACACACACACACACAGACATATATATATATATATATATATATATATATATATATATATATATATATATATATATTGGCATATTGTTTGGGGTCACGTTATGCACAACCGGTGCAATATGATTACACTTTAGAAACGATTATCTGATTCAAATAGTTCCTATTTAAAAATGGTTGTTGATCATCCATCCTCCATTTGCAGGCAAATAAATCTTCATAAAATTGATTTTCAAGTCGAAACAAAACTTTCAAAATATGAACATATATAAAAAAGCTGCTTTAAATTAAAAAAAAAAAAGTCAACAATAATTTCACTAAAATGATCAATAAAAAAATTGAAACCTTCCTTTTCGAAAGGACTCATCTTTTTCTCATCAATCAACATTTGGGGGGGGGCTGACTTGCCAAGAGAATTAAGGAAATTTCTTGGAATTACTGAAAGAAAACATTAATTATTGCGTGCAGCGAACTATAAATTAATTCCTGATACTTGTTTGGAAAATGAAAAAGTTTGTTTATGCTGCGACGAAAATGTTGATGATAAGCAGTACTTAAGGAGATTACTCAATATAACCTATTGAGTAATCTCAGTAAATATTGCTTATAATATTGAAATAGACTTACGTAAAAAAAGAAGTGTGAACAGAAGGAAAAGACTAACATGTCATTCATTTTTATTATTATTATTATTTTATTCTATTTCAATGCTAACAGTCCGTTCTCACTGAAAGGATTGGCCAAACAATATTAGAAAATTAGATTAGAAAAGGATTTTTGCCAATTTTCCTTATATTTTTTATTTTTTTAGTTTTTAACTTTAAGAGGTTTCTTGTTTTTATAATATAAAAACTCAACATATATATATATATATATATATATATATATATATATATATATATATATATAAGACTCAAACACGAATATTCCATGGTTATAATTTATTACATTGGAATCGTAATCACGATCAATTCATCAGATCTACAAATTCAAAAGATATCGCAAAATTATTTTTTTAATTTCTTTTTGGATTTGTAGGTCTGATGAATTGATTGTGATGATTCCAATGTAATATATTATAACCATGGAATATTAGTGTTTGAGTCTTTTTATATTATATTCTTGCTCTGTCCTAGGCATTGAGCTGTAACTGGATTCTATCCTCTTGGTATATATATATATATATATATATATATATATATATATATATATATATATATATATATGTATATATAACCCAAATTCTTACAATCTAAATGTATTTTCTGGTTTTAAATAAACTGCAAATGGTTGATAAGTCGTATAAAGCAAATCAATCAACATTCCGGTGCAACCTAGAGATTTTTTTGCTTTACACTTTGGTTGAAATTTGATCTGAAATTTTCACTGTATATTATTTGATCACTGGTTTAATTTCCTTGCAAAGGAATGCAAATATATAAAAATATAAGTATTTTAATATAAAATAAATGCCTTTTCTTTATTTGTCTAATATACCCGCATGAATCGATTTCATTATCAGTCAACGCCAAAGAAAGTGTAAAAACGAATAAAATTCTTATTTTCAAAAGAAAATCTACACATATTGACTTCTCCAAGAATTGATGTTCAAGAAATTCGTCCTCGCAAACTTTCAGGAAGCATTCAGCTGAACACTCTGAAATAGTTTTTGTTCTAACCTCTGTTTCCTCGCCAGGCAGTTGGCGATGCGTAAAATTGGATGTCATTTCAGCTGAAGACATTAGAGACTTTTTCTTAAATTACATGGGCCAAATAAATATCTACAATCGGATATAAAGACAATTAAGCAAATCAGAAAGTTATATCGATATTATCGAAGCATAGCTCAGTGTATCAGAAGACTAAAAGTGGCGGACACATCCAGATCCACAAAACATTCAGAAGAAGAAAGCCTGGCAACATATTAACAATTATAACAAAAACATGTTATAAACTGCTACATAAGTGCAATCATATTTCAGCACTGTTATGTGCTTCTTCAATATATATATATATGTGTGTATGTAGATATACATTGTTTAGTATTTGGTATAATTATCAGGGTAAGATGGTCAACATCAGATATAGTGTAGCTAGGCATAAATAGTGTGGACACCGTAATCAACACTGCATACTTGCAGGCAGTTTAACGGCTTAAACGATCATCAGAGCATACACACACACACACACACACACACACACACATACATATATATAACGATAGCGAAGACACACCCAAAAATCACATACACATTTATTACAAAAACCAATGCATATTAATTACAAACAAGACGAATCTTCTCTAAGGCATATTATAAAGGAATATACTACTCCAATCGATCCGAATAAAAAAATCAAATTTATTAACTATTATAAAATATTTAAGACAGCCAACCTTATCTTCAAAAATAACAGCACACCAGCTAAGTCAAAATTACAAAGAACGAACATTATCTATGAGTTCAAATGCCCCTTAAGGAACTGTGTTCCTGATCAAACCGGACTCATAAAGAATTACATCGGTTACACAACCACATGCTTATCCAGACGTCTTACCTTACACCTATCTGACGACAGCTTCATTAGAACCCATTTAAACACACACACAAATTTACCCAACTCCATTAGGAACATACTAGTAGAAAACACAAATATATTAACTGCATCCACCTGCAAGAAAAGACTAAAAATAATGGAAGCTTTAATAATAAAAAAGAAAAAGCCAACTCTTAACAATATTAACTACAAACAAAGCCACAATGTGCTAACCGTATTCGGAAATTAAAAACATCCCTACCACACACTAAGACATACAGAGAACGCACACGCTCAATTAAGCTGAAAAATCGAATCATCCTTGATAATGGCTTAAGGTATAGCCGAAAACGCTCGGAAATATAAAACATTTGGACAGTTCTTACACACCCTTTGTCCAGAAAAGAAAGCTCTTGTCAGAACACAAGAAAAATTAAATAAAAAGCTTAACCGTAGTACCTTGTCTGTCGTTTTGATGAAACATGCATAAAGGAAGGATTGCTGCCTAAATATACAACTATATATATATATATATATATATATATATATATATATATATATATATATATATATATATAAAAGGAGCAATGAATTTTTATTTTTTTATTTATTAATCCGACAATAATAGTCTGACCATATTTGCGTACCAGATTCGTTTATTCATTAAACAGTATATTTATTTTCGTCTACCGGTCCGAATATTGGAGGAAACTTATTAAAGAATAATATGCGCACTCTAGCAGGATTCGAACCTGCGTCCACCTGTGCCAAAGAAGCCTGCGTCCCCCTGGCCCGAACAAACCTTCGTTAGATCCGACGTACTTGTACCGATTCAGGCACGAACTTTTGCCGATTAAGCAAGACAGAATTATGGCCGGTATATGAAAATAAATACATGAACAAGGCGTCTACTCAAATATGAGTATCCACTAAAGGTAACGTTTAAAATTACAATATATATATATCTACATATATATATATTGTCACTTTAAACGTGATATATATATATATAGATATATATAGATATATAGATATAGATAGATAGATAGGAAGCGCAGTGGTTAGCGGCTTGGACTGAGGAATCGCAGAGCCGAGTTCGAATTCCAGTCGAATCCACTGCATTCACTTACGTGCTAATACCCTTGGGAAAGGTATGTATCCTCTTTATCTCCCTCCAGCTATGGCTAAAATAGCAGGACAGTCTGGGTTCTATAGCCTTGGATGGCAACTGGTCTAGGAGAAGGACAACTCTGAATTCAAAACCTGCGGAGGGTCGTTTGGGAACCTTGTGGCATGCATTCGGTGCACCAGGTTTCTGTATTCGTCCCTCCAAAAAGTGTGGCTGGTCACCACTATAAACAAATCTCATGTGCCGGTGTCGGGATGTCGGTTTCCTGGGGACTTATCGGCCTGACCCTCATACGTCGAACGCGACGGGAGAGTCGATTATATATATATATATATATATATATGATTGATTTTTCTTTTTACGGATTATTGTCAGGTCATTTAAAGCTAGACGGTATTTCTTTATATTGTTATAATTTTTTCAGCTAATAATAATTTTTATTATTTAACTCATGGCTGGGTGGAGGAGAAAATGAGGATTCATACATTTGCGCTTAAAATGAATAGAACGAACGCTACTAGAACTCGACTCTCTGATTTTAAATTTCGAGCCTTTATCCATTACACCAAACACACATCCAAGCTTACTGCTTATGCTATTCCCAACATAATATTCCCATGATATTCATAACATTATTCTGTAGAATTATATTCTCCACTGCCTCAAGTATTCTCTTCATGTGTGAAGAAATTGTCCAGCATTCATTGCTGTATAGGAAGACTAATATTGCATAGCAGTTCAATCTTTTTTTTATTTTTTTATTTCAAACGAAATTTTTCCTTCTAATACTTTGCTTAGTTTTACGAAAGCATCTTTCATTATTCCAGTTCACCTTTACACTTCAGTGTCAGATTTTCTATCATCTATTAAAACATTTCACAGATATCTAAATTTCTCTACTTACTTGATTTGGGCATCTCCGGTGTGTAGCTTGCACTTTGTGGTGTTCCCTTGGCTGACAATCCATACATTCTGTATTTTTTCAGGCTTTCCTTTATCAGTTTGTCTAGACGTTCCTCTAGTGTTCTTTCTGTCTGTCATCAGAACAATTTAGGATGATTAAAAGATATTATGTGATATATAACGTACATAAATAATACAAATATTTGTATGAATGTTTTCATTAGATTCTAAAAATGAGAAAAAAAAAATAAAAGTGGCTCATAATTTGAATAAATATATATATATATATATATATATATATATACTCGTGTGTATGCGCTTCTATGTATGCATACCCACATTAATGGACTGATGTAAACACACTCCCTTATCTAACTGTCGTTTTATTGATAATCAAAGAGACTTGTGTTTGATTCTGTCCTCGTAATTACATGCGCTTGTGTGATTAATTATTTTCTGAACGTAGCAACATGCTAATTACTCCGTTGCTAGTGGCAATTGATCACCATTAGAGCGTAATTGAATTAGAAGCAGAGCTTCTTTCATTAGTGACTTAACAAAATGAAACCAAAATCCAATTAAAAAAAAAAAAAAGAAAACTTTGGAGACTATTGAAAAGAAGCCTTTTAAAACAAACATTGTATCTGACGTGTTAGAATTAGTTTTGAAAAATTACTGATAGAAAAAATAAGTTGGTTTTAATTTAAACTAGCAGAATTACCCAGTGAAGCATTTGAAATAAAAGATTACATTTATTTGAATAACTTGCTAGTTAATTATTCTAGTTCGAAAGAAAATCAATTAATATGACCTAAGTAGTAATTGCCGTAACGGTTACTGGCATGAAAAATTCTGTAGGTCAGCTGAGTTCAAGTTTTGCACAAATGCCCTCTTGGATGACGCGAATCCATCTATGAGTTAAATAAGAGGGTAGACAGTGCTTGCTAGCCTTGATTGGTATGCAGTTTAAGAAAAGGAAAATTATGAATTTCAAACCGCGGAGAAAGTAACGAGTAACCTCCCCACTGTCCTTCTTAAGAAGGTATAGCAATACCCGCTTATTAACGATAAGGATGCTGTGGAGAATCATGATCTGAAGGGACATGGCATGTTAAAAAATATGATTTTAACAAGAACTTCTTTTTTTTATCTCCGTGAAAATGTATGTCATTAGAAAGTACCCCTAGCATGAAATATGTTTAAAAAAAAACTTTAAATCGAATTAACCTATGTTGTAGTAGATTGCTGGGTCGTCATATTTGCCTTGACAATGAAGGGGCAACAAAGAATTTTTAAATATCTATTTCCTTTCCAAACAGCATGCGGCACGTTCTACTTGATTCCAAGTAGAATCCATTAAAAGATTAAAATTATTCCGCCTCAAAGACAAAAAGAATGGTACAATCACCGTACATGGCAAGTAAAAATTATCTTGGAAAATTAATTGATTTTTTTGATAACAAATGGATGATTGTATAAAATCGCGGATTCATAGAATCATTTTTATAGAATGTGAATGAATGATAAAAATTTTGGGTTTATTTAAGTGAATGAATTTTTTAAAAATTGCATTTGGTAATATTTATCATACTTATTATAAAACCCAGGCTGTGTGCGTGTGTGTGTGTGTGTGTGTGTGTGTGTGTGTGTGTGTGTGTGTGTGTGTGTATCTGTACGTTTATATATTGGATCGGATTTCCTACATTTTTCAACCGATTTTAACAAAACTTCACAGGACCACGTAAAATTACTTGGCGGTTGTTCTGACATCGCCAAAAATTGGAAAAACACAATTGTTTTTGCAGGAAATCAATTTGAAACACGATTAAGAGGCATCGCTGTCGAGAATGAAAGGGGGACAACTCATATCGAGTTATACTTATTATAAAATCCAGGTTGTTTGTGTGTGTGCATCTGTGTTCGTTTATATATGAGATCGGATTTCCTACATTTTCCAACCGATTTCAACAAAACTTCACTTTTTTTTGGCAGGTAGTGTTTCTTATTGTCTTGCACACTTTTTTCTTTATTTTTACATTCAGAGTGCTTTAAAAATTCTATTTACAAGACAATTGTTTATAATAAAATCCTATTCAATCGGTAGACTCATAACGATTGAAAACAATGCTTTTGTTTGAGTTTAGGTTTGACCAATTCGTAAAAAAAGAAAAAAAAAAAAGAAAAAACAGAACAAACAAAAAACAAAAAACTAATTAAGACATGCGTGTCCGTCAACCTTAAACAACAATCTTTGTCAATTTTATTTTTCAGTCTTTATGATGGTCGATACTTGATCTATCTCTTACTGTTACATCCCCGGGCAACGCCGGGCTCTACTGCTAGTTTTAAAATAAACCTTTTAATTGATCTTTGTATTACGACTCGATGTCTAGGGTCTTTGAAACAACTTCTTTCAATATAATTACGCGCTTTTAGGTGAATCGTGTCTTTCATTTTAGAAATGAGTTGCAATTTTTTCAATATGTCTTTTTAGTGTATGTTTTATAAGATGTCTTATCTCAATCAATCCAATAATTTTGCTGTCTGTACACTTTAGAGAAACTAGTCGAGTGGTATTGTAAAATGTTTAAAATGTACAGCGAGACGCAAGAAGCGTTTGACAAACGAAGGGACTGATAATTTTCTTTAATTTATTCGAACTACTTGTCTCATTTGTATTATTATAGGTGTCCATTAGTTTTTCCTAAATAGTCCTAGCCAAAAATAGTTGCACCTAGATATAGATAAGATAGATAATGATTTTCTAAGCTTACCTTAGATGTCGCACATGACCGAAAGTATGGGGCACCCAGTTAGGATCATATTCACTGCTCAGTTGTAATTTTTCTAGTGATACAAGCTTGCTAACCATAACAACAGTAACATGCACGCATGCATAGATAACATGCATAGCATAGATAGATGCATAGATAGATAGATATAGATAGATAGATATTAATAGCCTAGATAGATAGATAGATAGATAGATAGATAGATAGATAGATAGATAGATAGATATAGATAGATAGATAGAATAGATAATAGAATAAATGCGAATGTCAGTGTTACACTTTTTCAGGTTTACTCCTAGAGGCCGTAGCTCATCATATCATGCCATTTTGGAATCGACCCAACTCCGTGAGAAAATTAAAAACATTCCAAGCTGGACCCCGGCCCGCAACACTGAAATTTTGGATTCTCAATTTTTCATGACTGCTATTGTTTTCGACGATTTTTATGTGATTTCTTGCGACAAAACGATAACAATTTTTATAATTTGGAAATAAATTTGTGAATAATCGAAATTAATTGTGAAATCCAGCGAAAGTCACTCATGAAATAAAATAATTTTTTGTACGGAAAGTAAGGACATATGTACATCAAATTGCTTTTAAATTAAGTGGTAGCGGATGAGTTGCTGAACTTTTAGAAGGTAAGCTTAAATATAAACGTAGTACTTAAATGTAGCGACCAATTTTCAGTTCTTCTGCAGTTTATTGCTGTCTACTTCTCCCTACCTATTGTGATGAAGGCCTAATCAAGCGTCTTCCTCAGGAAGTAGATTAAATACCGCCCGATAAGGTGGATTTTAAGCTAGTAGATAGATATGTATGCGTGTATGTGTGAAAACATTGTTTGCTTGCCTAAATTTTAGGGAACTGGAACATTAAAAAAATCAGAGCTTACACCTAGAATAATATGCGCACTCTAGCAGGATTCGAACCTGCGTCCACCTGAAGTAGATTAAATACCGCTTTTCTTCGAAGTAGTTCAATTGTGTATGTTTCTAGCAATCTCAGAATCTGATCTGCTCAGAAAGGGTAGCCGCACAATCTTGTACTGCATTCAGTCTGCCCGAAATTTTGTAAGACACATACAAATCTATCTATGTCTCTATATATGCGTGCCTGTTGGTGTGTATGTATTGGAAATATTGTTTGTTTTTTTTTTATCTAGAAAAAGTAACCATAATAAAATGAAACGTGATGGTAGATAGAATCACAATATGTTATGAAAGATGCCTCTAAAAATTTGGAAATATAGTGTATTACTGAAAAAAAGATGGCGGACGAGTACATATTCCTCCTACTACCACCAAATATTCAATCAGATCAGAAAAAAAAAAAAGATTAGACAAAAAGAAAAAAAAAATCTGTAAGAAGAGAAAATGGTTTTGCGGTTGGGAAGGAAGTTATGAATGATGAAACCTGACAATGACCACTCGGTCAGAGAGGAGCGAAATTCGCTGAGTTGGGAGCCGCTCTTGTATTTCTTTCTCTCCTCTCGACAATTTATCATCTGTTTTTACCAACAAGAGAAACACGGCTGTATATATATATATATATATTTTTTTTTTGCTCGCATCAGCCAACATTATGGTAGATTTTTTGCGATTAACATCGAAATTCTATGGGTTGTGCCTTCTATTTTTTTTTTCAGGCCGTTGATACTGATGCATTCGCAGACTGCAATTCTTCAATGTCGATATTTACAGTTATCAAGGAGCACTTCGAGGTAGTTTAATGGTTAGCAAGCTTGTCTCGCTAGATCTGTTACGACTGAGTAGTAAGATAGATCCTCGCTCGGTGCTCCATACATACGGCCTTGTACCACATCTAAGCTACGATTACTTAGCAAATCGTTATAGAAAGTAAACAGGGGATCATCAACGTGGTATAATGGTTAAGCAAACTAGTCTCGCTCTATCGCTTACGACTGAGTAGTGATCTCAATCCTCATTGGGTGTTCTATGCTTTTGGCATTGTGACACATCTAAGCTACGCTGTAAATCGCTGTTTACAGATTTTAGGAGAACGATGTCGGGATAAGATGGTTACGTTGGGAGGAAATTTTTCATGTTTCAACAAATCAGAGCAGGTCTGCTAGTTTAGGAAATCAGTATTGGATATTTTTATCTTTTAAGGGGAATCCAATCAGCGAGTTCTGAAGTTTGCGATCCACCCAGGAATATTGAATTTACAGTTGTCATGACATGGACGTTAGTGTAATGGACATTAGCGAAAATGTACCGAACGTGGAATCGACGAGCAATTTAAATTCCGTTGCATAGTCTGTTTCATTCCTTTCCTCACTAATGACCCCATCACCTCTCCCCTCAGCTATGGATTAAATAGTAGGGTATGCCTTAGGTGGTAACCAGTGTAAGAGATGAAAAACTAAGAAGTCTGGCTTGAAAGCCTGGAGAAAGCAACAGGAAACCACTGCTACAAGAATCCATAGCAATTCCCAGATTCTAAAGGAAATGGATTTGTGAAGAGCCAGGATCACGTACATCATGAAAGGATATGGCATTTAAGAAGAGAATGATCTTCACTGCTCGCTTTCTAACAATGGTTTGATGGTGCGAGAACAGTTACGGGCTTAGATCACACATGAGAGGTTTGAACTCTCTACAGTGATGATGAATTGATTTAGTAGATAACCATTTGCATAAGCCTAGAACAGTTTCGAAATAGATAAGAAAATATTTTTAAAAAAGAAGCAGGATGGAATCGTATCTGAGAGAAAAAAATGTAATAATATATATATATATATATATATATATATATATATATATATATATATATATATATAAAAGAAAGAACAGTAAGATATATAATCCGGTGTTCTTATAGATATTTTTATTTTTACAAAATAGTGCTCAATGTAAATCTACAGAGCATTAATATTATAAATTAATTGATTTAAAATATGTTTTTTTTCGCTACACAGTTCTAACCATGTTTCAAAATGGAAGCTAAAACCCCGAATTTAAATTCAGGGCTTTTTACTTCCATTTTCGAAACATGGTTAGAACTGTGTAGCGAAAAAAAATATATTTAAATCAATTGATTTATAATATATATATATATATATATATATATATATATATATATATATATATATATATGAGCCAGAGATAGCAACAGTATTCAATATACGGACGAGTGGTAGATTTATACATTTGCATGATGGATTCTGACGAGAAAAAGTGTCTGACACTAGACAGTGAACCAAATCTCCTAGCAGAGTATACATAGGAACTGATTAAATATAATGACTCGACTAACATAAGTCAAAGAAGGCGCAAATATTGCTCTCCTGGAGTTTAACATCAGCCATGCATATGGTTGGCAATAAAGATTCACTGTGGTAGTTAAATGAAAGCAGTTTTATTTTTGAGGTGTTAAAATTCACCAGCCATTCCTTGATTCCACTGATTGGGGATCCTTTTCGAGAGCAATTGTCAGTTTTACATTGACAGATATGTCAGATTTGCTATTAATTGTGTCATCTGATAAATACCTAGTTGGAAACAGACAACACCTAGTAAATTTCATTTAATATTTAATTTAGACCGTTAATCTGTGTAAGTCAATCACCATTAATAATAGCCATTTCTTATTTTTTTTTAACCATTAATATTGTTTACACTGCATACATTTGGCATTTAAAGAGTGAGTACATTTTGGGGACTTGCATATATATATATATATATATATATATATATAAAATGTATATCTCTGTGTGTGTATATGTGTGTGTGCTATATGTGTATTTATTACAAACCGGAATATATACAGAGAAGTAGAAAGTGTTAGTACGAACAATCAGGTTTAGTAGTAATTGTCTGAACGCGACTCTGTTTCGGTCTGCCTCTGACTCGACTGACTGACTCGCTCGCTCTGACTCGACTGACTGACTCGCTCACTCTGACTGACTGACTCCTGACGGCTTCACCCCAGACTTCAGACTGAACTCTCTGCTTCCTCTTGAGGCGCAGTATTTATTACGTATGGAATAGTCCATTATGTTATTATGGGTAAGGTCCCATAACAGTATTGGTAGGTAAACAAGATATAAATAGATTTTCAGAGACTGAAAAACAATAGTTATAGGTGGGTTAAGAGAATGAGTCAGGTGTTGTCTCTTCATGTTCTATATATGTTCTATGAGTGACAGATCTGGCGATTACTTTGGTGTCGAACATCTTTCAGCGATTGTTGATTAGCCTGGGCATCATACAAACATCCACTAGGGCAAAACATATCACAGGGATGGTAACAGATCGTTCTAGGCGTTCACAGAGCTTTTCATTGTTACGACCAAAATAAATCAAAACTTAACTAGAGCCCTAATATAAGGTCCCCAAGAAAATCATACTCGAGACTAGGACACTGGGATATATCTCCAAAGTTTACGTGTTAAGAGAACCGTTTTCTCCACTAAACATTACAGACTGTTATTTGATAATTCCGGTGAGACATATGTGACAACAATGAAAACGTTTACATTTGTCACCTGAGCGAATGTCTGGCACTTGATGTTATGCTAAAGGATGCTCAACAGCTCATTCTGACGCCGTGTTTTATCGTTCTTGAACAGCGTGTCAACTGAGAAGCTGATTCACTGACTACAACGAAGGGTTCAAGCATGCGTGGTGGCTAAGGGAAGGCCATATCGGTTCGAGCAAGACTTTTCTCACTTTCACAAGACTCCCGTGACTCTTCTGATTTGAATCTCTTGGACTGCAAAGCCTGGGACATCATCGAGACACAGAACAAATAGCGAAGATATGTTGAAGGTTGCCATCTTAGACATGATGACCAATATGAAAAGGAATCACTAAGGTGTGTGGAAGATGGCGGAATTGTCATTGATGGCGTGTTCTTTTTTTCTAAGATAGGTCCAATAAGTTCTGATAATATATATTTTTGTAATTAATATTTTTGTTTTTTATTATATTTCATATATCCATTGTGAGACCGTAACATACCTACAACATGGACTCTTCCAGGACTACTATATAAAACACTCTATGAGAGAAGACATAACACTCTACGAGAGAAGAGAGAGAGAAAAGAGAGAGAGAGAGAGAGAGAGTATTCTAATACCGTAGTATCAGCCGCGTACGACTACCAATATTGGACACTAGCACATAGTAAGCTCCGCTTACACTTACACTATCTTTGTAACCTTTTTGTTTAATATATCTTTCTGACCTCTAATCCGTGTTCCATGTTTTCCTTCTGTGTTCCCGACTTTGGGTCCACATCAGTGGCGACGAGAATTCGAGAAACTTACTCGCGCCGAAACCTCAATACCTTACCAGTCCCACATCAAGTGGCGACGAAGAATTCGAGAAACGCATTCACGTCGAAAACCTCCATACCTTGCCAGTCCCACATCAGTGTCGACAGAAAGATTCGAGAATTTCGTTCTCACCATATCAATAGCGACAGAGTAATCGAAAAATACACAGAAACCCCACGCGTTCCCACACCAGTGTTGAAAGAGAAATTAAGCTGGTATTACTATATTAGCGATTTAAACTGTCCAAATAACATTACGAGAACGATTTCTTACACACCCAGACACACACACAAAAAACCCAGTTTGTTCATAAAACAAACTGACAACACAAGAGCCGAAGTACTATTTACGACTCAAGTTTTCGAAAAAAACTAAATTTTTTTTTTTTTATGTAACTGAGTTGAACTCGTGCATAAAATTATTCTCCCCTCAAATTCACTGAGGCGAGTTTTCTCTTTTTGTACCTCTATAAAAATTTTTATTAAAAAATACATAAGTCTGGTGAAAATTGACGTTAAAATTAACGGAACCACGGAATCGCAAAAAAGCTAAACACATAATTAGTTTAGTTTAACTAATTGTCTGTCCATATTTTTTTTGTAAAAGAAAAAAAGAAAAAAAATCTATCAAAATTTTTTGTGTACCTCCCCTTGGTACACGGGTTTCAAAGGAAAAAAAATCGCTGTTATTTTTGTTTGTCTAAATATGGAAGATTTTAAAAAAGTAATCGTCCAAATGCTAAAAGTAAATTTGGATCAGCAGCAAAAATCAGAAGAAAGACAACAACTATTTTTGGAATTACATAAACAACAAATGGAATTCCAACAAATTACGCTTCAGAACGCTGAACTGCAACAGAAACAACTTAAAGAATTACTCGTAAATGCATTAAAAGGCTCAAACTCTGAAAAAGATACAATATTCTCCCAGAGTACAATCTAAAATTCATTGGAAACCTTTGAATACGTACCAGAGAACGACAAAA